TTTTGATTCTCTTTTGTAGGCATCCACATTACCTTTGAAAGTTTACAAATTGGTCATAAAATTACAGAAGTTGGACAAAACATAAATAATTGATAACATCTAGGAGTCCATGCTTAGATTTGTAAAATTATTCTGGGAGACAACATTAAAAAATGTCTATTCAACTTTATAAAAGCTGAGGCAAAAGGGTGACTGGTTGTCAAATCAACACCCAATTCTGAATAAAGCTCAGTAAAGTAGCACGCCTGGGAACTCAAAACAGTTTTGAAATTATTTCAAGACAACAGATGACGTATAGCACGTCTAATACATACACTGATACAGGCTGAGTCGCTGGAGACGCAAGCCGTAATTCGTGTATTGTGATTACTGCCATGTTTGGGTGGCATCTTTGCTAATTTCACCAGCTTCAACCACAGCTGACTGAGACACCAAAATACAATGTAGCAAACCTTGGCATGCATGAGGTGAATGACAAGCGTTCTTACAGTGAACATGACAAATGGTTATGTAACTTAATGTAGTATAGCTTCAGTGAAATCCCACAAATCATCAAAATAGGGAAATTAAAAGCCAGAAAAAATAAATGGTTTGACAGTATTTCCAGTTAACCAGCCATCTCTCATTTCACACCACAACATCACTCATTCATCCATAGTTGTACACTCCCTTTGATTGTGAACCTGGCTTACTTACTTAAACGCAGCATGTTTAATTTCTCGGTAATAATAAGACCAGCATTGGAATCTTTGCTGCTGTTCTATTATAATAGGTGGCAAAGCCACCTCCATCAGAGAAACCCGACTGTGTCTGAAAACGTAAAACAAAATTCTAGTGTCATCAACTTGATAGAAAGAATATAATGCAGTGGTCATCGCTATGATTCATTAGTAATTGACTTTTAAAGATTGATAATAATACAATCAGTTGTTAAAGCGCGGTGGTCGTCGCACCGCGCATGTTCGAATTTCTTGTAAATAAACAAACTATTTTACACGCGTTGTATACGTCCCTATGAGTCCCATATCGAACAGGACGCGGAGCGACGACTGCCGCCTTTTAACAATATTTTGTGAGGAAAATTGCCCTATAATAAAAAAGTATTAAATATTTTGCCCCGTATATAGTGTGTTCCCTCAACTAATATATTATATATTTAATGATACTGTACTTTTGAGCCAGTATAGTATGGAATAAACATATTATTACAAAGGCACACTTGTAATGCACGTCGATAATATACATATTCAGATGCAATAATTATCAAAATCCCGTGTTTAGAAAATGGCATATTGACTTATTGTATTAACAAAACATTATTAGGATTGAATTCTGGGTATTTTCATTTTTTAAACTTTGACCTAAAAACAGGACATTGCCATGGAAAAACAAAACTAGTTGGTCTTGATTTTGAAAACAGTCAGTCATCAAAATAGGACCACTGAAACATTTATTTTATTTCATTCACTTTGTAGTCACTCGACAGAAGTTTGCTACTTGTTGCAATAAAAATACTAGAAATTTGTTTATGTGCCCTGTGTAGAGGTACCTGTATATCACGCTTCACTGACAACTACCGTATATGTTACATCTGAGTTAACAACTATGAATGCAAAAAGCTGATTACAAGATGGCGCTTGATTGGACACCCAACCCTAAGACCAAATAGTCAGACCAATCAGAAAACAGCTTGTTTGTTTACCTTTTTTATCGCAGTATAAAATTCTGCCTTGTATATATGTTTTGACTCAACTAAGTATGTTTGACAAATAGTCAATACTGTAAAATGACTAATTTTCGCTGAATTTAAATTTCATTGATTTACCATTTCAGGCATATTCAGTGGGTTTTATCATTTAGATAATGTGTTCTATGCTGAATTTTACATATTCGCTGGGTTTTAATTTAGCACATTTTCCAGTCAGCGAAATCAGCAAAATTAAAACCCAGTGAATAATTAACCCCTTTACAATATGTAATCTCAGACTGTTTTTACATAGGAGTCAAATTTCCCCTGTTGTTAGGTACACATCTTGATTTAATAGAAAACAGACTATCACACTTACTTGAATGAAGCAACCATGTTCTGGTGACCGAAATATTGGTAATGTTCATGATTTAATGAGTGTTTACAAGGGTCTGTACTGGCACGTCGACCATAGTTGTCACCATAGAAATGTAATTCCAGATATTTTGCAAACGATAAAGACCAGCTATCTTGAGTCATCGGTACGACTGGAGTCACCTAGAAAATAAAAACAGTAATAATATAAATGGGTTAATTTTTTCTCTGCCAGACTTTCTCGTTCAAATTTGCCTCCAATTTTTTTTTTATATTCTTCAATATTTTTGGAAATAAACCCTAATTTTGGAGCACACAGACAAAATTTGAGTAAATTTTCAGTTTTTGGTCAAAAAATTTGACTATTTTTGTTTCAGTCTTCTGAAGGAAAGTGTAAACTATAAACGGGATTATTTTGTGAATTTGTGATGAAAAGATGAAATTTTGTGAATTTGTGATGGTGAAATAGTTAATAGCTAGACTTTGACTTAAACAACTACTGTAGAATACTTTATTTTCACTTGGAATTTATTTTCGCTGAGGGATGATTCTGTGAAAATAAAATCCAGCGAATATACCTTTTTTTCCTATATTTCACATTAAACTCATCAAAAATCAGTGAAAATAAATTCCATACAAAAAGCTCAAAATGCCTTTTCAGCGAAAATTAATTCCAGCGAAAATAAAGTATTCCACAGTATCATGGAACTTCTTTTTTAATATCTCACATACAGTGTTCATTCTCTTTCATCACTGAATCCATTGTTCTCCTGACCGATGTCACACATTCAAGTTATTGTGGTTCTCTCACTCCCAACAAGATCCTGGAGATCACTTTAAGCTGCAATACCAGTAATCGCTTTATCCTAATTTAGCTACTTAAATTTATAAAAATATAGGAAAGCTGAAACAACACATTTTACTGTCGCAGATCGAGATTGAAAAAAAAAACACGTCTATTTTCCATTGGTACCTGGAATTCACCAAATTACTATTTTCTGTATTTTTCTCTTATATCCATACTGTCTATATATAATACTATGAGGTTATTACGAGGATACCTCAAAGTATGCACGAAGACAGTACAACTGGAATTCACTACGTTCAATTACCCACCATAGACTCCGGTCAGTCAAAATGACTATTTTGAACTGTAGGCATTAATCAGCGATTCTGCTGGTGAAGGAGAGATAGAATCTAGGTCAGGGGAAGCCCCAGGACCCCAAGATTCTTTTACCCCTTACGTCACGAACCCACGTGACCGAGGCCACATGGCAGCGTCATAGGCAGCCGTACAATCATTATTCTTTTATCTCCGCCTCGTCGGGAATGATTCTGAGCAGCTCTGCCTGGCTCTGTTGCTTTTTCCTGTCCGGGTTTCTAGCATGGGTTGTTGCCGCTGTACGGCATCTGACATTGTAGCTGGTAGGATAAGTGTTCCTTGTCATTTTTACCTTCGTGTTGTTTTCCCCTTTGTGTGTAGTATTTTTCACAACAAAGAAATTAAAACCCGGCGCCACTATGTAACCACTTGCTGGTTTCGCGGCGGCACCATTTACAACTGTATTTCGTTTTTTCCCTCATGCATGTCGTCTTTTATTTACAATGTATTTAGCAATATATAGATGTAATGACAGCACCAGGGCTCGCTGCCATTTTCTTTCCGGTCTCCCAGTTCATGTTTCGACGTTATATTCAGAATTTACCAGCATAGAACCCGCATCCAAGATACCTTGTCGTAGCTGCGTGTGGGGTTCAGGGTTTTTGTGTGAAGGTGTGTGTTTTTTTCACTGGAGGCCTGAGATTTTCTTTCAGAGCCATCAAAATCACTGAGACTGACCGCATCACAGCAAGGTCGCGCGTCCAGTAAACAAAACGGTTAAAGTGAGTTGCATGTTTTGCATGAGTGGAAAGTAATCACAATCGGCTACCGGTGCTTCGTGTACCGGGACATCGAGTAGGAGGCCCGGTGGTGGAGGTACCGATATTTTTCTCGGCCTCTCCCGCTGATCGGAGGGCATCCTCACAGTCTGTTTTTTCAGGCGGTGGTTTACCCGATTTTACCGGCTGCAGCGAGGCAGTGCCCCTGGAGGCTTTCCTCCTATGGGGCCCGTTGCGGGTCTTTTTGTGGACCCTTCCTCGCATGCCACCGAGTTGAGGGCTTTGGTCGAAGGACTGTCGGGGCAATTGCGTCCCTGGCAGGCCGGGTAGATCAGACGCAGTCGGAGCGAGCTGTCTCCTCTGTGTCCCCGCAGTGGGCAAGCAGGAAGAAACACGAAAGCATGTTTGCATTCAAACACGTCTCTTCCGGGGAACCCCCGTTCCCAGCGACGGCTCTCCCACTATTTTTGGGGAAGGCCAAGGCTCAGGCTAATTGCACCGGGCCTCCTCTGGAGCCTCGGGCACTGAATGGCAACGGGGTGCTGGCAGCCAAGCCTCCGATCACGGGGCAGACGGTCACACGGTAACGGTACAACGGTAACAAATTTATCCTTGTGTCCGGTCTCTACTGTGGGTTTTGACTCCCTTCTTACCGACCCACAGGAGTCCCCAGAGGAAACCAACCCTGTCATGAGACGCTCAGTCGAACACGCTCCCTCTCACATATTTAAAGTGAAAGGAGACGCAGTTCGCTCGTGTCGGATACAGCCGGTACTCCGGACGGTCACTCAGAGTCTTCCATCCGTATGACTTGGTGAGCCACGCTTTTGGGGTGATGCGGAGTATCATCGATCCCAGTGATACAATGTAAATACCCCCCACCCTTGTTTCTAAGGCGACCACCTAAGGTTCAACGCTTATGGGATCACAGGCGTTGGGCTTAAGCGGGGCCTACCTGCACATACCTATGCACCCAGCGAGTTGCCATCTCCTTCAAATTGCCCAGCTGGGCCAAGTATTCGAATTTCGGGTGCCCCCCCCCCATTCGGGTTAGGCACAGCACCCTACGTGTTCAACCGAGTGATGAAACAGGGAGTGCTGCTGCTTCACCAGATGTCGGATACATCTCAATCCGTACCCAGACTACTGGTTACTAACAACCCGGGCAAGGGGTTAATAGCCAAACGCGTCAGGCTAACACAGGATTTACTTCACCAGTTGGGCTCGTTAGTAAATCGACAAGTCCCACCTCGGCCCAACGCGCAGTTGGTGTCCCTTGGCATGGAGTTTTGACACAGAGGTAAACATGGCTTATCAAGCGTGTTGCTTAGCGCTAAGCAGCCTAGCCGAATGCCTAGTCAGCGTTCCCTCAGTGTCCCTCCGAGTATTAATGCGGATCATTGGAATGATGACCTCAGTTCAAAGGGTCGTTCCCCAGGCCGCACTACGCAGCCGCCCGGTATAACGATTGTTATAACGCCGAGCTCTCCTATGGGAACTAGATAGGCGGGTTTCGATCTGGGACCAAGTGAAGGAAGCCCTGCCCTGGTGGTCGTCACTGGCCAACCTCAGACAGGGGGGCCCCTTGGACCCGCTCGCCGCAGGTATGACTCTGGTAACAGATGCCTCCCCCAGGGTTGGGGAGCGCATCTATTGGACCAACAAGCCCAAGGATATGGACCCCGCATTAGTTTCAGGACTACCATATCAACCAGCTCGAACTGAGAGCAGTGTAGAAGGGGGGGACGCATTCCTCATCGTTGTCAGTCCTAGCAGAGCAAATCCTCCTTTGATGCCTGGAATACAATGTGGAGCTAACCGCACACCACCTTCCAGGGGTGAGGAACAGTCTGGCGACGTTCTTTCAGGACGGCTCCGTCTCCAGAACACGGAGTGGCTGATACCCCAGTGGGTAGTCTCCAGGCTGTTTCGGCTGTGAGACGGTCCAAGGTTGGACTGGTTTGCCGCACCCCGGAACGCCAAGCTGCCAACATACATAACACTCCTGCTGACTCCAGGAGCCTGGGCCAGGTTCGCTTTGCTAACCCCGTGGACCCACTTAGTTGTGTACGCCTTTCCTCCCTTCCCGCTAGTCCACCGGGCACCGGAGAAAACTTCGACAGGTGCACACCTGCATATTATCATAGGTCGCACCCAATTGGCCAAGCAAAGCCTAGTTTCCACTTCTGTTGGAAATGCTAGTCGAAACACCAGCAGTGCTTCCGGACTTACCAGACCTGCCGTCCCAACCAGACGGCGCACTACCAAAGAGCCCAGCAGGTATCACTTACACGCATAGAGGCTCTCAGTAGACCCGCACATACAAAAGCCTTATCTGAGCAGGCTGCCAACGTCCACCAACGCGGCCTACATTTCTAGGCTGCGAGCATACACTGATTGGTGTAGCGGAAGGGAGATTGATCCATACCCTCCCTCTATTGGCCAGGCCACCTGTTTGACGAAGTGGGTTTGTCCTACGCAGCGATCGTTGGCTACAGGTCAGTCTTGTCCCCCACCACTCAAAACGTACGGGAACAAGACTAGCCGATTGTCCTATTATTTACTGCTTTCTGGAGGCCAAGACCCCATACAAGGGAGCCGCCCAACTGGGACTCGTCGGCTGTGTTGTCTGCTCTAAGCAGACCGCCCTTTGAGCCTCTCCAATCAGCACCACTCAAATTTTTGAGGTGGAAAATAGTCTTTCTACTGGCCCTCGCCTCAGGTAGGCGTCGACCAGAGCTGGAGACATTGTCCTTCTCGGATGATGTACCGCTGTTATGGACAATCAAGTTGTGCTAAAGACATAATCGGGTTTCTCGCCTAGAACCAGATCCCAGGACACGATCCTCACCCGATCGTCATCCCCCGGCTGTCAAATTTTATCTGCCCGGAAGGTCAGGAGAAATTGCTTCTCTACCTGGTTCGAGCACGGAGTTGCCACCAAACCGTACTAAGGATTTGGAATGGGTGCCAGGCACATATCTTTGTGTTATGGCCCAGGCAGGCAGGATAGGCCGACCTCCCCAACTTCCATAACCAGGTGGTTTACTGCGACTGTATTAGAGGTCTATAATACTTTAACTTCCTCGACACGAGAACGCAGAACGTCTTTATCAACTACCACCTAAGAGACACCGAATCCATTGAAAGGGGTCTCTCTAGGTTGGGTCCCGTCGTAGCGGGTTAGTCTTGGTTTGCTGACCCAGCCCGAACTACCGCTAGGGTCCCTGCGCATAGGCAATAAGTCAGTCTGGCATTTTATGCGGACAGAATTCTCTACCATCAGCACTCCCCTGGAAGCTCTCAGGTCCCGCTTTGCGGCCTATGCCCTCATGCAGAACTGTTTCGGTCTTTACTTCGAAAGCTTACTACCCCCTAGAGTTGGGTTGGGGGTCTAGCTTTCTCAGGCACACCGAGCCCTGTCACCGTATCAGCATTTTGGCTTCTTGCTCCGGGGACAGCACAGGCAAGGTAAGGCACCACCCTTTTTTGGGTCTTAACTAGGATGTTGAGTTTGTTTTCATCCCGGACTGGGAAAAGACTTTCATCATTTTTTCTGTTTGCTCGGAAAAACCCGCCACCTATCGGCATCTGACTCTGCCTACAGTTCAAAATAGTCATTTTGCCTGACCGGAGTCTATGGTGGGTTCTCCAAACCCGCCTATTCACATAGTTCATACCTACCATAGACTCCGGGTCCCCCCAACCACCCCACTCTTTCCGTAGCGTTGGTCTAAGTCCTCGAGGCGGAGAAAAAGGAACCAGAGTGATTGTACGGCTGCCTATGGCGCTGCCATGTGCCTCGATCACGTGG